CTTACCTATTTGAGGGACTTTTTTCCGAACCCCATCTCACCGGGGGGGAAGGAAAACTGCTGTCAAAATTTCTCGAAATTTCCCTTTTAATTTAAATTTTTGCTAATTAATTAACAAAAATATTTAAAAGTCGAGTTAAATCAATTTTCCTTTTTTTCCATTATCCCTTTTGATATTCCCTCTTTGGCAGCACTGTTTGAGGGCTTCGCCCGAACCCCATCCCAACGGGGGGAGGCGAAACGCTGCCGAAATTTTTGTAAATTCCCCAAATTTTTATTTCTACCCCTAAAAATCATCAAACTCGGCGGGCTTATATATGTATTGATCCTTAATATATAATTGAAAAATACGAAAGAGTTCCCTAGAAGAAGAAGGAAAAGAGACGCTGCGGTAGCCTGGTTTCGGGTGAACCTACTAGCTTGTTCTCGAAGGCGTGAGGCAAGCGACGAGAATTTTCAATTATTAATCTACACCTCCCTCTTGCTGCGTTATTTCTGGCCGCCAGTTGAATGTGGCTGAGGGTGCAAGTAGAGGTCTATGGGGCTACCATTGACTGGGACTTGGAGCCCCCTGAACTCATAGAGGGGGATCTGGTCGAGCTGACAATCCCCGGGCGCAACATTCGACACGTTGACGGCTAGTTTGCGTGGAGGTCCATAATCTTGTCCGAGGACGTGTGGCTTTGGACGTACAGAGAGCACCAGCCGGGGCAAGGAGTGGGCATAGTGAGAGTCTACTTGTATTTGGGACCGGGTGCGGTCAGGGAGGCCGTGGTGGGCCTCGCGACGACATGGACTAGTGGCACAGTTAGCAGGGCGTTACGCTACCTAGGGGAAGAGGTAGCTGCCTTCCGAGCAGAGGACTCAAGCGACCCGTTGACCCTATTTCACGGACGCCCTCCTCTTGATATCACGGGCGAGCTGGTGGTGGCACGGGACGAGGTTTTCCCGTATAGCGTTAGGAGCCTGCGGGCGATAGTTCCGACGTTCGTAGTAGAGAGCATCTTTGGAGGTATTGGTGGAGTGGTCGAGACATACCTGGTCTATCAGGATCTCAAGATCCTTGCGAGGAGCACTGCTGATCTAAGCTACATCTATTATTCACTTGCTACCGGAGGACCTCGTTGGGGAGACGAGAGGGTTCAGCTTATAGAGCTGATCTGCTCGATAGACGACGAGTGACCCCAGTTTCCGTGCGTTTGGGATTGGCTAGACCGTGAGCTCCGAACAAGCCCCGAGTACGTGACCTGCATCGGGCAGCTCTTCTCAGACAACTGGGAGAGCTGGAAGGGTGAGGACGCCGGGCGAACTCTGATATACGGCCACCAGTTGACGCAATACTACCAGGGTATAGGACAGACGCCATACCGCGTCGAGGACGAGTTTGACGACGAGGGTTGGGAGCGAGAGGACGACGAGGACGCCTGGGAGCAAGACTGGGTCGACCGAGAGAGTGAGGTTGACGAGGAGGAGATTGACGATACAGACGCCCATTTTCCCAGGATAGGAGTAGCAGTTCGGGCGTAGGAGGTAGAGGAGCACATTAGGGCGACGGTTGAGTGAGCTTAGCTACTGATCCTACTCGACCATACTGGACCTGAATGCGAGAGTTGTCTGAAGGGTTAGCAACGTCGAGAGATGGGGTGCATCGGAGGGAGTAGAGTGATGCTGAGCGAGAGTAGGAGAAGAGATGAGGAGTGATTCAGTGGCCTGGTTAGCTTATGTTATCTCACGAGAGTCCGAATCGTATAGTGGGAGGAAGCCTGTGGGACCCAGAGAGACGGCGGTTGGATACGACATTCCACTTTCTGTGGCGTTAGAAGAGGCAGGGCGTGTACCGATACGATACTTGGGAACGTGGCTCGTAGAGGGGCTCTTCCTTTGGACAGTGATACTACGAGATGAACGACCCGAGAGGACTCATGATCTAGAAGGGGTCGGACATCTGATAGCGGATAGAGCACACGATTTAGAGATAGGACTAACGCTCGCAGGGGCGAGCAGGAGTTGGTGGAGAACCGAGTTCTTGGCCAGAGTGATCGTTAAACAGCAATTGGCGAGACTCTCTGGACAGAGAACGAGTTGGAGCTGCTTGGTATACGGTCCACCGCATCCGACCCTCTACCCGAGAAAGGATTGGCAATTCGGACTTCCTACCTTCGTGATAGGGCAGACCTATGGGAGCGTGGATCGTTTGAGTAGAGCAGTAGACCACACACTTTACGCGCTCTGGGAGGGCTTAGTGCCCCGCTTCAAGGAAGTATACTATGCCATTTGTGTGAGGTGGGGGCCGCCCAGTAGAGAGACGCTTAACGACATCATAGACGTTACTAGCTGGGTGGACTGTCTGAGGCCAATCGATCTGATTAGGTACTGCACGAGACGGGCAAAGATCGATTATGCGGGGCTAGAGGATGTGAGATTCTCTTCGAGGCCGCAGCCTAGGGAATGTCGAGAAGGACGGCCACGGTGATGCGTGTAGAAGAGCAACTGGTAAGTGCAGGATACACTGTGACAGTACTTCTCCGAGCGTACGTAGACGAGGACTTGACAACGAGTGAGTGTAGACAACGAGCTAGGGATTTGATCCACGAGCGTAGAGCTGATGTACTGGCGCGAGTGACCTTCCAGACCTCGATTTCCTATGATGTGATGATATGGTCTCATGGTTATATGCGCGCGGAGCACTACCACGATGAGACGGTMRCRGAGGCTAGAGCGAGGGTGAGAGGATGAGCTGGAAAAAGATGTGGACTAAGTATGGAAGAGGAGAGTGAGGCAGTCGGAAGAGTGAGAAAGCGCGTTAAAGAACCACTCTTTAACCAGGTAAAGAAGTTGGAGAACAAGTTAAGGGAGATCTGGTCGTGCGAGGACGAGGGCAAGTTGCGTAGGGCTGAACTCGTGACAAGAGAGTTAGACAATCTGTTTAGGGAAGAAAGAGAGATTATCCCGGCGTGGAGATCAGACTTCTTGGAGAGGGTAAAGGCTAGAAACGTATCACGCGAAGAAACTAGTGAGCGATCTGCAGAGAGCGAGACAACGGAAGACAAAGTAACGTAGGGAAGTAGCGACAAGACATGAGCGGAACTGCAGTACACACGACGGATCGGTACTCATTATATGTGGTAGGGAGACTGGACGGACCATTAGTGTTAGTGATCATAGAACTCCAGCTCCATACCAGACTGTGCATAGTTGAGGAGGCAGAGTGTGTCAGCTGCTCGCTGCGTGAGGCTAGGGGAACAGGACTTTGAATTGGAATAGAAGGAGGACGGAGGATAAAATACGTACTCCAAGTGACACCTTTCGAAGGGCGGTCTCGGATAAGGGCATGGTACGAGACAACCAGAGAGGCTGAGAGGTTGAAGATAAGCGAAGTCAGGAAAGCTAGAGAGTTAGGGAGAGTTGTAATAGATGGTGCAATACTTAGGGTGTTAGCCGCTCACAACCGGTACAGGAATGAATCGACAAGGACTTTAGAGGCGATAGACGATGGTGGAGATAAGGAGGACTTTGAGACATTTTTGACATATTGGAGCGCTCGGCGATGAGGTTACAAGTGCTTATAGCACTAAATTACCTCAGCTGTTAGACAGATCTCCTCATAGCCGTCTGGGAGATAAGGTAGGGGAAATAGAAATTAGAAGCTCTTGGAAGGAAAGTGGAAGCTAGAAAGGTCGATGGGCGACTATGGATGGCAGTAGGAGAACCTTTAGCGGGCTAACCGATTCAGGACAGGGCTAGGAGAACTAGCAAGGAGGACGGAGAGAGACGCTCGGAGACTCTTGAGGGGTGTTGATCAGGAGACATTGGCTAGGTTTAGGACTGCGATCTGTCTCAAGGATGGAGGTCTTCTCACGGGCGTACTACAGATCCCGAGCGGCACGGCCTTGTTGGCCGATCCCGAAGGAGAAGTTTACTTAGACACAGGGATTCTTGGGATAGAGGGAGGACACGAGATCTACGACCGGAACGGGATACTGGAAGTGGTAATTAAGGCAGTCGAGAGCTAAGATTGGAGGCGGACGCGAGCCGTGACAAGGAAACAGGTACGGGCTGCAACGACTGTCATAGGGTCGGGCTGTAACAGTTGGCAAGAATACCTAACTGCGTCTTCTGGCGGTCCAATGGAACCCGACACGATGGGGCCACAACCGACCACGGGCGAAGTGGGAGAGGAGTACAAGACATCACGCGATCGAGCTCTGAGGGATCGGAAGGGACGAATTAGGCACGAAGCACCGTCGAGATGGGCTGACCAAACCAATGACGAAGGGTCCGACGTAAGAGGCGAACCAGTTGCGACAGAGCCGCAGGAGGCTCTAAAGACGGGTACCTCTAGCGGACGACGAGAAGCGACGAGGCGACGCTCCCCCGAATACGAGCGGAGGGACACCATAGCGGACAGGCACAGAGACGACTGGAGAGAGAGTTTGAGGGATTCCTATTGGAGGGACAGAGATAGAGACAGGGCGCCGCCCAGGCGAGTCTTCGACCCCCAGACAGGCGAGTCACATCCGCTCCCTTACGAGAGCAAGGATCGCTATATTATTACGCACAAGGCCTCAGAGCCTCCTACCTTCAGGGCCTATGGTATCACAGAATATCTGGAGAAGTGGGAGCTTCACGCCAGCCGGAGTCAGTGGTCGGAGGAAGAGATTATAGAGAATTTCCTATTTAATGTGGACTCAAGTCTCGGTAGGGAAGTTAAGGAAGCTCGACCGAAGGATGGGAAATGGACTACGTACAAGAAGAACCTCGTTGAGCTTTACAAATTGGAGGATAACAAGTATTCCATCAAGGACCTTGAAACAATGACTCAAGATGAAGATGAGAGCCTTCGGGCATTTGGGATGCGTTTCCAGAAGATCTCCGACGTGCTGATCAAGAAGGGGAAGATCTGAGAGGTCGAGCGTTGTATTATCTTCATCGGACACTTGTCCAAAGGAAGGCAAAAGAGTATACTTAGAAATCTTCCGCGCGACAGGCTTGATTTCCCAGAAGTTATAAAGCTCGCGATAAAGGCAGAGGCAGACGATTACAAGGACTTGGTGTGGAGAGGGATGAGGAGATGTGACTTCTCTCTCTACAGGGAGTATGCCACTTATAGATGTTCTGATTTCAAGGACTATCCCTGGTCGGAGAAGAATGAGGCCGTGACTGAGGAAGTGAAGGAGATACGGGACATGGTGAAGGGATTGACGAGACAGGTTACAGAGATTGTGACCACAACGGGGGCCACGGCCTACCGGGACAAACCTGGAGGGCCCTATTCACTTCGCTGGGACCGTAGGAACAACGATTCCTGGAGGAGTGTCGAGGATAGAAATCATCGGACGTTGACTGATTATCGTACGAGGGGAAGAGAGAGAGACGATGAACCATGGCGACGTAGGGATGATGAGATAGACCGAGACCGCAGAGATCGCGAGCCGTTTGCGCGAGCGAGGAGGCTGGATGATTACCCGCGAAGCCCTCTCTATGAGGCCGATCGGGGTAGAGGCGACTCCCGCGGCGGATGGGAGACGGATCAGGGCCGACGAGATGGATATAGGGACGACAGATATGAGAGATCGGACCGAGACGGATATAGGGACGACAGATACGAGAGGTCGGGTCGAGATGGCTACAGAGGTGGTAGGTATGAAAGAGGAGATCGGGACTGGGAACGACGAGATGGGTCGCGCGGACGGTTTGAGCGCGAGGGAGAACAGCGCGATGAGTCGCGGGGGTGGTACAACCGAGGRGRCCAACGCGATGAGACACGAGGGCGATATGACTCAGGGGACCGCCGGGATAATTCGCGAAGGCAGTATGAGCAAGGAGGGTCTGGAGGAGACCGCCGCAACGATTCCCGCGGTCGGAATGAGAGAGGGCGATATGGCGTCTCATCAGAACCATATCCCAAGTCGCCTGACCCCAAGGCAGCCAGGGGTTCGATCTCGAGAAGTGCAGACGACAGGCCATCTACTCCCAGGAACTCATGCAATTACTGTAGAGGAAAAGATTATATCAAGAGGGATTGCCCGAACCTCAAACGGGCAATAGATGAGGGACTTGTCATGCTTGACGACCACAAGTACGTCAAGTGGGCAGATGGTCTGGGAGATGTATTGATGTTCCCTTCGATGAAGGAGAATCTCGAAGCGAGGAGAGTAAAGAAAAGGAGCCGGTCAGGAGCTAGTGCATCAGGATAACCCTTGAGGGGGATATGGCGACCACACCCATAAGGGTGGCAGCCACCAAGTCGGCGAGAGGGTCTATATCGAAGAAGACTGACACGGATTACGTGATGATGGAGAAGGACGGGCAGCGGATCGATGGAGAAGAGGTTATCCTTTCGCCGTGAAAAAGGGGAGTGAAGAAGTTCTTAATGAAGAGTTAGCTGGACGAGATTGACACGGTCGAGCCACTAAGGTGGGCCCTTCGGCAACCCATGCAGTGCTTTATTATGGAGTACCTGGCGGCATCGAGTCGGCTCGTGATGAGCTATAGATGATCACGCGGAAGACTCGCATACCTCTATCGGAGGAGGGTGAGGGGGCCACTAAGGCGGAAGCTCCTACAGTAGCAGTAACGGGTGTGACTGCCAGAGCAGATCGGATGACGACAGTTCTTCTCGATGGAATGGAAGGTGTGCCTCCAGACAAGTTTTATATACTTGGTAGAGGGGCCGTGGAGACGATTATAAACGATGGAGCGATACTCGATGCTGTGATCGGTAACGGCAGTGGGGCTGTCATCATAGACGAGGACCTGGCAGTGCAGGTTGGACTGGGCCTCGATAGGTCATACCTATTCGAGATAGAGACGGCTGATGGGAGAAAGCAACAGATCACTGGGGTTTGTCACAAGGCAGCCATAGAGGTCCAAGGGGTACGAGTGACCCTGCCTGTCTTTGTAGTCAAGAACTGCAACTCCGACCTGCTCTTGGGACGAACGTGGCTGAGCCACATGCATGCGGTGACAATAGAGCGACCTGATGGGAGCCAAACATTGTCCATTAGGAAGCCAGACGGGACGCGGGTAATGATTGAGACAGCGGAGCCTTGGGACCCGAGGAACAGAGCGGCTCTCGCTGTGGGTGCGAGACCCAGTGAACAGATTAAGTCGTTACCTATCTTCGGCCGCGCGGTGCGATTTCGCGAGACAAAATATGGACCACTGCTTACAGAGGAAGAAGGTCGGATCGTGGAGGTGGAAGATTTAGGGAGTCGACTAATAGTGAACGATAACTCGTACCCAAAGGAAAAATATGAGGAACTTGGCGGTGTGGTATCCGTGTCTTTTTTAAGGGCACGGCCCCCTATGGGGGGCTACCCAAGCGACACAAGCGAGTAACTCAAAAAGTTAAGCCAGCGGCGGTGGGCTGCAAGCGATCTGCACTGGAATGGATATCGGAAGAAGAGATCGCGAAAGAAATAAAAAAAAGAAAGAAAAAGGAGCCACAACGCCTAACGGAAGAGAGGATAGCAGGGATGGACATCGGAGATGGAAATCTGACCCCACAGGAGCGAGAACGTGTGATAGAAATTCTGAAGACATGTGATAAGGCAAWAGCTTTCAGCGACGCGGAGCGCGGTAGGATTGACCCTCGATACSCTAAGCCAGCGAGGATTTWYACGATTCCACATRTTCYTTGGAATGACGCAGGATGGAAATACGCCCAGAAGGAGAAGGAAGAAGTTATCGCTTTCCTGAAAGAAAATATGGTTTCCCACGTTGCGGAGCCGTCTGATAGCGATTATGCTAATCGATGGTTCTTCCTACGAAAGCCGAATGGCAAGATCCGATGGATCCAGGAACTTCAGAAGGTCAACGCGGTGATGATACGAGACGTGGGCTCCGTGCCACACGCCGATTTACTGGCAGAGGGCGCCGCAGGTAGGTCGATTTATTCGGTCTGTGATCTGTTCTCAGGTTATGATGAGGTTACCCTTGACCCTAGGGACAAGCACCTCACGGCTATGCATATACCATTGAGACTAATACAAATGATGGTTGTCGCTATGGGTTGGACTAATGGGGTAGCCGTTTTTCAGAGAGCCATGGTAGCCGTCCTCAAGGACTTCATCCCTGATAAGGTTGAAGTTTTTCTGGATGACTTTCCTATTAAATGGCCAGTAGACAGGGATGAGACAGAGATTGTACCTGGAGTTAGAAGATTCGTCGAGCAGCATCTAACAGATATTTGCGCGGTACTCGAGCAGCTGGACGATGCGAATTAAACAGTCAGCGGAACAAAGAGTCGATGGGCCGTCTCGACTATTAAGATCTTGGGCTTTATCTGCGACTCGAGAGGACGCCGAGCAAATCCGGCGAAGTTAGACAAACTTCTGAACTGGCTGTCACCGTTACATAGCCCAACCGAGGTCCGACAGTTTCTAGGAGTGGTCGGTTACTGGCGTATATTCATATGGGGGTATGCGGAGAAGGCTGAGCCATTAAGGTTACTCCTTCGAAAGACTGAAAAATTCTACTGGGATTCTTATCAGGAACTTGCTATGCAAGAACTTAAAGACAAATTTAAGGAGGAAGGACGCGTGTTGGGCGTGCCGTTCTTTGACGATGAGACCGAGAGACCTTTCATAGTATCTACGGATGTTGGACCATGTTCAGTAGGTGGTTTGCTGTCTCAGAAGGACGCTGGAGGGAAGGAAAGACCATTAAGATTTAAGAGTAGGACACTTAATACGGCTGAGCGTAACTACAGTCAATTCAAGAAGGAAGTGTTAGTTGTTCTCCGGTGTTTAGAAACGTTCAGACACTATATCTATRGGCGACGGTTCATCCTGAGAGTAGACCCCACCGCGGTTGCCTCTGTCCTCCAGAAGGACTTTAGTCTGACGGACCCGACCATCGCCCGATGGTTAATAGGGATTCGGCTATACAATTACACGGTTGAGAGGATATCTGGCACTAAAAATGCCGTGGCAGATGGACTTTCGCGCATCCCTCTGGAGGCCGAGCGCCCGATAGTAGTTGGGGCCTTGACTATGGCGGAGCCAGGACCCGGCGAGCATTTTCTGGTTAACCTTTACGAGGGCAAATACTGAATGATCAAGCTACATTTGTCAGGAAAGGAGGTCAAGAATCAGATATCCGAAGAGAAGCGGCCCAGTACTGCCTTAAAGTTAGCCATCTGTTTCGAAGGCCGAACGGCTCGGGAATGCCCTTACGAGTAGTCTGTGACCCTGAGGAGAGACAGACAATAGTTGCGGAGCTTCACGACGGGGTAGTCGGAGGACAGACGGGAGTCAGAGGAACCTACGAAAAGGTACGCAGGCTGTACTGGTGGGAAGGACAGTATAAGGACGTCGAGAGATATTGTATGACCTGCGAAGAACGCCAGAAGAGAGCTCTTGTGAAATACAAAGAGCCACTTTATCCATCCTATCCAACCAGACCAGGAGAGAAGGTACACATCGATCTGGTGAAGATGCCGAGAGGGGTAGGCAATATGAACTATGTTGTGAACATACGAGACGACTTCACGGGGTTCGTGGACGGTAGACCTATCAGGARTAAGACGGCAAGGGAAGTGAAGAACTTCGTCCTAGAATACTTATCTAGGTATGGTTGTGTCAGCAAGATAGTGATGGACAGARGAGCGGAATTCCTGGCTGACAAGGTTCAGAATGTGTTCAAGAGAGCTGGGGCGAGAGTTTCGATAGCCACTGCCTACCACCCACAGTCGAACTCCCCGGTCGAGAGAGGGCACCAGACCCTGATAGCGTCGCTATCTAAGTGGTGCAAAGGCAAGGACAGTAATTGGCCACGATATTTTCGATACGCAATTTAGCCAGACAACGTCACGGTCCGGGCTAGCACGAAATACCGTCCATACACCTTGTGGTTTGGGTGGCATTGTCCGCTTCCCATAGAGTTTCACGTCGACAGCTGGACAACCATCGTCTGGGCGGAGGAGATGTCTAGAGAGGAACTCATAGCTGCCCGGACAAGACAGATAGCCTACGGTTTGGAACATAACCTTATGACAACGGCATATCGTCTGGCAGTGGAAAGAGACAAAGGTTAAGAGAGATGGGATAAGAACGTGAGAATCAGGAAGGAGAGGGTGAGTGTAGGAGATATGGTCCTTCTCTACGATGCAACGCTGGAAAGAACCTGGACCGGAAAACTCGCCAACAGATGGATGGGACCTTACAGAGTGGTTGAGGCACTTGACTGAGGTGCATATATGATAGCAAAATTAGACGGATCTAAGTGGAAGGACCCAGTGGCGAGTGCTAGGTTAAAGCTGTTTAGGCCCAGGCCCGTGCCCGCCTTATCGCTGACCAGCCCGAAAGGGAAAGGAAAAGCCATGATGGAGGATGGAGCCCCCTTGAGGCAATTCGAGGCAGCGGAGAGTTCCAAGAAAAGGAAAAGAATAAAGAAGAGAAAGGTCAAGGGGTTAGCTTTAGGAAGAGAGAAGAGATGGTTATTCGTGCTCAAGCGAGCTAGACGGAGAGTTCGGGTTAGACGTACTGGCGGGTCGGCACCCTTCTCGGGGCAAAGACAGAAGAAAAACAGGATCGTGCCGGGACAAAAAAACAGAAGAAACAGGAGAGTCAAGAAGCATCTTTTTAGCCCCAGAACTCATAACAAACTGAAACATAAGACAATTGAACGCCGACGTGGGCGTCTTTTACGGGCCATCACCCTGAAGCTCGTCCGCTTCGTCTGACGTAAGTTGCTAGGGCTCGACGGGGGCGTCGAGAAGTGGTCCGGGCTAACTGTCAGGCGGCCACAATCAGTGCGCCGCCTGAAATCTACGGTTTAAGGACTTAGGCTCAAAGACAAGTCCGTGCAATGACGGTACTCTGGTTTGACCAGGCAGCAAAATTAGGGGTACCCCGAGTATCCCTAAGATTAGATATGACGACCGTTGAGACTAGCTCTTGAAATTGACAAGAAGGACTACCTCTTCTACCGCGGCGGCGTCTATCTTAATACCGCCGTCTTTAGCTTGTTTCCGGGACAGCCGCCTGCTGAACAGCAAGATGGAGATAGGATTAGGCGTGGTTCTTTTACGCTCCACAACTGGCGCAGAAGTGGGGCCTCGGAGATCATCAATTTTGGTATCAAAATTTAAAAAATGAGAACATGAATTAAAAACAAAAGAAGAAAAGAGAAAAACTGAATATCCATTAATTTATTCAAAATCTTTGATATTTGATTTTTAATGGGACCGCCCTCAATTATTGGAATTTCTGACAATAGAGTTAAAAATAAG